ATCCTGAAAAACCTACAACCAGAAGAGGATAAAATAGATAAATGGGACCTTCAAAGAATCAAATCCCTATGCACATCCAAAAACTTTTCTAACAGGGTAAAAAGGAAATCCACAGACTTGGAAAGAATATTTGGGAATGACATGTCTGATAAGGGACTTATATCTAGAATTTATAGAATACTCAAGCTCCACAAGATGAAGGTAAAGAACCCAATCACAAAATGGGCACAGGATATGAACAGACAATTCACCAAAGAAGACATTCAGATGGCCAACAAGCCCATAAAGAAATGTTCAAAATCCTTAGCTCTAAGAGAGATGCAAACCAAAACAACTATGATGTATCATCTCACCCCAGTAACAATAGTAAAGTTCAACAGAGCAGCAAACAACAAATGCTGACGAGGTTGTGGAGAAACTGGGACTCTTATTCACTGTTGGTGGGAGTGTAAAATGGCAACAAAATGGCAACCACTCTGGAAGGTGATATAGCACTTTTTCAAAAAGTTGGAAATAAAAATATCATTTCACTCAGCAATTCAATTATTGGGAATATACCCTAAAGAAACAAGAACTGTCATCCTAACGGATATATGCTGTGGTATATTCACACAATCGAATACTATGCAGCATTGAAAAATAAGGAATTAATGAAATATTATACAAAATAAGTGACTCTGGAAAACATTATGCTGAGTGAAATATCTCAGTCACAAAAGGATGAATTCTGTATAATGCCACTGTTATAAAACAGGGCTGACATTGGGATTGGGAGGAAACTAAGAAAAGAGAGGATAAATAATGTACACTGCATTGAAACATGAGGGAGAGAACTGCTTAAATGGAATATATGATTAGGTATTATTTGTATAACAATAGTTAATAATAAGAGCAGCATAGTAAAGTGGACTGGAGGGGGAATTACATAACAATGAAAAAACTTTTTTTTGTTTTTTCAAGGAGAAAAGCAAATTGGAGGAGGAGAGGAAGAGGCAGGAAAATGTGTAACAATGAATGAATGGAAATCCATGTTCTTGATAAACTTTCATTAAAATCTCAATTTAAAAAAGGAACAAATAAATCTGTCTTGAATACGTGCAACCAGAGTACTCTTTAGAGGCAAGGACGGTAATATTACATCTTACTTACTTTGAGCTTATTTTCAAGAACTGGAGTACCCAATCCTTGGGAGGAGAGATACACCATGCTAAGAAAGATCAGCCAAAGAGAGGTAGGCACTCACTGAGGTGGATTCACACAGTGACTGTAATAATGTGCTCAAGCATGCTGGAGATCGTGAGAATGGTACAGGACAGGCCAAGATTCAGATCAGTTTTGCATAGGGTTACTATGAATTGTATCCAACTTGAATGGTACCTAGCAAAAACAGCAATAACAATGGCTAATGATTATGTGATCTTTTTTACTTGTTTGATGACTGTTTACAGGCCTCCTTGGTTAAGTGTCTATGCCATTTGTACAATTTTTAGTTGGATTGCATTTTTGTTGCTGAGTTGTTAAAGTTTTAAATATATTTTAGAAATGGGACTTTTTAAGTATGTTGTTTTCATGAAACTTTTCCATGTGTGTAGGTTCTCTTTTTACTCTTTTATTAGCATTTCTGTTTTAGGAAGCCCAGTTTTAAAGGAGCATTGGTGACCTAGTGGGTGAGGAGTTGTGCTGTTGACCACAAGAAGGTGATTCAACCCCACCGACTGCTCCATGGGAGAAAGACGGGCAGTGTCCTCTGTGATTTTCTGCCTCTGAAAACTTGCTGCAGGGTCAAATATAAGTCCGTTCTGACTCAACAGCACATAATAACAAAAGTTCTAATTTGTCTTTTATTGGTTTTGCATTTGGGTAAAGTGGCCTTTTAATGCTACTTTCAGTGTAAGCATTTCCCCTTAGCTGCTGCTCATTAGGGAGAAAAAACCTCTCAAACCAACCCAAGTAGTTATGTGACATCGAATCGTTTGCGACACATAGGGACCCTATGTACAAGCGCCCTAAATACTGCTCTATCCTGTGCCAACCTCATCGTCTCCGACACACTCATTCCAACCACCACAATCACAAAATAGATCCATCTCATAGAGGGTCTTCCTCTCCTGCTCCATCCCTCCACTCTCTCAAACATGATGTCCCTCTCCAAGGACCAGTCCCTCCTTGCAACATGCCTAAAGTATGTCAGACAAAGCTTCAGAATCTTTGACTCCGAGGAGCATTCCGGCTTGACCCTCTCCAGGACAAACCTGTTTGTTCTCCTAACAGTCCTTGGTATATTCAACACTCTTCTCCAGCACCACAGCTCAAAGACATCAATTCTCTTCCTATCATCCCTATTCTGATGCATAGCACATAATTGTGAAGACTACAGCCCAGATCAGGCGCACCTTAGTCTCCAGCCTGATGTTATTGCTCTTCAGTACTCTAGAGAGGTCCCTCACAGCTGACTTTCCCAATGCAATTTGTCTCTTGATTTCCTGGCTGCTGGTACCAAGAGTGTTGACTGTGGAGCCAAGTATACTAAAACTGTAAACTATCAATCTCTTCACCATCCATACTGATGCTGCCAATTGGCCCAGTGGTGAGAATCTTTGTTTTCTTGATGTTGAGCTTCAATCCGTATTGAAGGCTGCAATCCTTGACCTTCTGGATAGTAATGATTATTTTTAACTCTTCTGTAACCTACATTCTGCAAGTCCAATGAATTTTTTCCCCTCCAACACAATTCAATAAAATTGAAGAATAATTGGATGACTTCTTTTATTGACTGTGTCTATTTGGTTGTAATCTTCAAGGCTCATTACAATCTTTTTTTCTATTCTTACTTTGTAACATTTGTTCTTTTAGTCATTCTAGAGGTGTACTTTTATGTGGCCTCTCTTCACTTGGGGATTCTAATATGTGTCTTGGGAAAGCACTTCTAACACTTTCATGAAAGTTTGATCTCCCTCCTAGTATCAAATTCTGTTTTACTTGGAGCTCCCATTCAAAGATTGGGTCACAGCCAACGAGGAATCCACTCTGATAGTGATGCTGTGACTTTAATTTGTGCAAATAAAATGAAACTGCAATAAGATGTTGACCTCTAAGTAAGCTGAGAAGCAAATGAGATGAACCAGAAAAAGTTTTTCACTGCCTTCTTGATAAGCTAGACTGAGCTACTAGTCATCTGTAATCCCAGTTTATGCACCAGTGAATTAGAAAGTCACATGGGTCACTGTGAATTAGAATTGAGTTGATTAACCCCAACAACAACCACTGGGGGGAAAAAATGGACAAATTCTATGGGCGATAAACTGACAGTTCAATCAACTAGTGGGTCTTTTTGGTCAAAATGTTAATTTTAGGGAGTACTACCAATAGTTACATGAATAATAATTAGGGATGGATAATCTAATATTCCTGGGAGGCAAAACTCACACAGAATTTAATAGTTTAGAAATCAAACTGCTTCATTTGCCTAAATTCCACATTACTTATAGATAATTTCTGTCCTTTCTGTTGGCTTGAACCCTGGTTAAGTGATAAAGAGAGTTTGTTATGGTTGCTATGGGCCATCGAGCCAGAAGTGACTCACAGCTGATCCTTATGTGGATTTTCAGATGAAGTAAATCACCCAGGAGGAGATTGCTTAACCTTCTCCTTCAGAGTGGCTGGTGGATTTGAGCCAAATACTTTTGGGATGAAGGCACAACTTCTTACCACTAAGCCACTAGAGCTCCCTTAAAGAAAGCTTAGTCAGTTAAAGCACCTGAAACTAAACATGATGACACTCCAGAGGACCATTTATCTCATGAGTATGTTGTTAGGTAGCATGAAGTTGGATCTGACTCATAGTAACCTTGTGTATAAGAGAATAAAATACTGCCTGGATCTGCGTGACCCTCACCATCCCTGTTATGTTTAAGACTGTTGCAACCACTTTATCCATCTGTCTCATTGAGAGTCTTCCTCTTCCTTACCGACCTTCTACTTTACTGTGCTTGAGGTTTTTCTGCATGGACTGCAGAATCTGTGAGACTAAGTCTCATCATCTTTGTTCCTAAGAAGCATTCTGGCTGTACTTCTTCCAAGACAGAGTTGTTTGTTCTTTTGACAGTCCATGATATAATAAAAGATTCTTTGCCATCATCACAATAAAAAAAAAAACTATTTTACTGTGATGTTTATCCAATAGTAAAACAGAATCTTATGCCCCACTACTGGTGCTGCTAATTGATATGTACAGCTTCTATTACATGCATTTCATTTAGAGAATTCATAATAGAGTTCAGAATCCTTTGAGTACATCCCAGCACAGTTGGTGTCTCTAACCCCTGTGGGAGTTCATTTCCTCCTTTTAAACTGTATGTTCAGAAGAGTAATGCCTGCAAAGTCAAGAAATGGAACGAGAGCAGCTTCAGTTCTGTCATCCTATATGATAACATGGGATTTCTGAGACGGCTTATGAACTTAGTGGTGTAATATTTTTGTTTGGCATGTGAAAATTTAAATCCATCTTTTTAATATTAAATATTTTATTGTATTTAAATAATGTTTTTAATCTGTCAAATGCACTTTAAGAATTAATTCTTTTAAAACTGAGGGCTCAATTGAAAAATGATTATCACATGCTTAGTATTGAAAATGATTTTGACATATAGAGAAGAGAGTCTTAAAACAGTCTGCTCTAGCTGTCAGTGAATATGCTGCTGTATTATAGCCCCTTTTTCTCATCTCAAATTTATGCTAGTTACTGGGCAACAGCCTCCCAAGAACAAGCGTCCAAAGGAGCCAGGAGAGAACAAAATCAAGCCCTTCAACAAAAAGGTGAAACCTAGAGTTCCTAAAATAAAGGACAGAGACTCGCCTGATTCATTGCCAAAGACATCATCTATAATGACACAAGTCATGGATAATGGTCGCTTCCAGAAACCAGCTTCTACCCTGAGCCTCATGGCTGGGCAAACTCTAGAGCTTCGATGTAAAGGGAACAAAATTGGATGGAGCTATCCTGCGTACCTTGACACATATAAGGACTCTCGCCTCAGGTAAGCATTTCTTTTTCTTATGAGTCAAGGGTTTGGTTTTCTCCTTCCTTAACTATCTATCATTTCTAATGTCTCTTATTTCTCCCTTGTAGGTTTTAAAAATGGAAACTTAGTGAGCAAAAAGCCATAGGATCTTTTTTCACCCAAATGAAAAAATCCAATCTTAATAAATTTCATAGGAAATCACAGGAAAAATAATTGGGGGAAATGTATAAATATGGATATTAAAAAATTTGTACTGTGAACAATGCTGGACTTTCAATGCCATGTTTTTCTACAAATAGTCTTTATAAGGAGTTGCATTAACCCAACAGGAGACTCTAGTGACCAGAGACAAATGTTAACTCCTTTTACACTTTTTAACTTCTATTTGCTTTTTTTTTAACCTTTCTGAATATTTGATTTTTATACTTATAGTCTTTAATTCATAAGAAGGTCAAACAGACCTCATTTTTGAATGAGTTCCTTCAGGAAGCTTGACTTGTTGCTTCAGAAAAAAAGGATTAAATGAGGGGATCAGGTACAGATGGTGCTTGGAACAGCTCTGAGCATTAGCTGTGCAACTCCTATGTGTTTTTTTGGAAAACCTTAAAAATGTCTCAGTTTCCCCAATGTGTAGAATGAAGTCATCAACTTAGGTGATTTAAAGGTTTTCTCCCCCAGTCTTGTTGTCCTGTGATATGTTGTTGTGTGCTGTTGAATAAGAACCAACTCTTGGCTGACTCGCCAGCAGGTTTTCAGAGACAGCAAACCACACAGGAGGAGAATACCCATCTTTTCCCCACAGAGCAGCTGTTGGATTTGAACACTTGCCTTTGGGTTGTCAGGGAATCTCTTCACCACTAGACCAACAGAACTCCTTGTCCTATGTTATAAAATAAAGAAATAGAAGATAATGCCTGGGATGCTTAAAGTGAGAGACAGAGGCACCTGGAACTCAGCTTATTCATATTAGATTTACATTTCTTCACAAGTTCTACCACCCCAGATCTTAATTTTAAACCATATACTGTTACCTTCCTCTGCTCACACAACAGCCTTTTCGTCTAGGTGTAGGTTTCACAATAAGTGTTCTGGGATTTCCGTTATTCTCAATGTTAGCTATAATTTGTTATGACTCACTCAGTCACTTGCCTTTGCATAGCTAATGAAGCACAAATAGACATTATTCTTGTATTCTTAGCTTTCAGCCAGGATCTGTCTGACATAAGCAATAATATTCCTGGTGCTATGTCTTTTCTAAGTCCAGTTAGAGTTCTGGAAATTTTCTGTCTCTGTTCTAGTAATTTTTAAAAAATCTTTAGCCATATTTTGCTTACATGTGGTATTAATTATACTGTTCAGTAATTGCCACATTCAGTTTGGTTGCGTTTCCTGGGAATGGGAACATATATAGATCACTTCCAGTCAGTTGACCAGGTAACAGTCCTCTGAATTTCTTCACATAGCTGGTGAGCACATCTAAGGCTGCATCTGTTTGTTGAAACACATAAGTTGATATCCCATTGATTCTTAAGGGCTTTGTTTTTTGACAATACCTTCAGTTCATCTTGAACTTCTTCATTCATTACCATTGGTCCTTGATCATATGTTATTTCTGAAATATTTCCTTTGTGGTCAAATTTTTTTTTTTTTGTACATTGAGTCTGTGTATGCCCTCTGTATTTTTCTGATGATTCCTGGATCATTTAAGATTTTGCCCATAGCATCTCTCAGTATTGCAACTCAAGGCATGGATCTGTTTTTCAGTTCTTTCAACCTGTGACATACCAAATAAGTTCCTCTCCTTTTATTGTCAAATTCCAGTTCTTTAGACATTCTGTTTTAATTCTTTGCTTTGTTTTTTAAGTTGTCCTTTAACATCTTCTGTTCAGCTTTTTCACTTCAGCATTTCTTCCCTTTGTTTTGGCTTCTCAACACTGTAGTGCACTTTTCAATCTCTTCTGACATACATTTTGGTTTATTCTTTCTTCTCTGTCTGTAATGACCTTTTGCTCTCTTCATGGATGATATCCTTGATGTAATTTCAGAACTTACCTGGTCTTCAGTCATTGGTTTTAATGTAGTCATACAAAATTGACATTATTTGTGAGCTGGGAGTGACCTCTCATCTTCAGCACTTCATGTCTCCCTCTCATCATTGCTCATTGACTATTAGGAGCCCCGATGCCTTTTGGGGTGTGTGCAATGCAGAGGCCCCTGTGCTTCTTTTTTACAGAGCCCCTGCGGGTAGAAGCGGTGATGATCAGATTATTTGCAACCCTCCATTTCTCCCATCAGTCCGGGATGGTGACCTCAGTTGACCTCTATCCAGTCTAGCCCCACGATCACGTGTGTACTCCTTTCTTCCTTTTACTTCTCCTTGCCTTTCCTCATTGGTCTCTCTGGCACCTTTGGTCCCTCATCCAGATACTCCTGCCTACCTACGGTCTCTCATTTTCCTCCCGTTATTTCATACCTTCCATGGCCAGACCAAGATGTTGCAGATGAATGGGAAGTGTGTTGTGGTTGGTTAGCCTCCATCAGTCCTGTGCTCTGGTCTTCACTGAGACCTTGAGTATATAGTTTGAGGATTCTGTAGGCCTAACTATGGCCTTATGTGAGGACTGAATCATCAAAATACAACCTGAGAATTTCTTTCAAAGTTGTAAATATGAACTGTCAAATAACAAGATGGTTGATGAGTGAAGCGTTAGGTGTGCATATTTGAAAATATCTTGAGTACTTAAATGAAATGAGCTTAAGTCTAAACTAAAGAAGAAAATCCAAGATATTATTATTATTTTTTTCTTTCTAATATTAAATATTACTGTTGTTGTATACCATTAAGTTGGAACCAACTGGTAGCTGACCAGTTAATGGGGTTTTTGGTTGTTATTAAGTGCTGTCAAATACTACTGTGTTGTTATTGTTGATTGCTGTCGTGTTGAGCATGACTCATAGCGACCCTATGAACAAAAGGCCTGAAGTCTTTCTATAACTATAGTCATTTATCTAAGTTCATAGAGTTTCCACAGGTGTGTTGTTTAGAAAGTGGATGCCACTCCTGCTTCCAAACTTTTATGTTGTGTACTGTTGAATCAGATCCCACTGGCACAGGAGGAGATTTCCCCTCCTCCAGCAGAGCATCTGGTGGATTCAAACTGTACCTTTGAGATTGCAGTGCAGCTTCTTACTACTAGGGCACCAGAGCTCTGTATATTGACCCAATAAACAACAGATCTGTACCCTGTCATATCCTGTGTCATCTTCATCATCTCTAACATATTTGAGCCCATTGCTGCAGTCACGGTGTCAGTCTATCTGGTTGAGAGTCTTCCTCTCTTTTGCTGACCTTCCACCTTCCAAAAATGATGTTCCTCTCCAAGGAATAACTTCTTCTAGCAACCCTCCCTCTTCTTCTTGTTATTAGGTGCCATCCAGCCAGCTCCAGCTCATCGTAACATGGTGTGAAAAAGAACCAAACCTTGCTTGCTTGACCCTGTGCCATCCTCAAAATTTCTTCTATGCACAAGCCTATTGTTTTAGTCACTGTGTGAATCCATTTCATTGAGACCTTCCTCTCCTTCGGTGACCCTACACTTTTCTAAGCATGATGTCCTTTTTCAGGGACTAGGTTCTCCTGGCAACATGCTTAAAACATGTGATGAGTTAATATGTGTCTGTGTAGTTGCCATTGAGTCAGAACTAACTCCATAGCTGGACCTCCAGCAGGGCTATAAATTTATAGCAGAGGCTATAAATTGCATAGGAGTAGATTGTCCACCTTTCTATTTTGAAACAGCTGGTGGATTTAAACTCCCTGTCTTTGGGTTGATAGTGAAACTCTTACCCAATAGGCTACCAGAGCTCCCTTTAAGCAGGAGTGGCATCCACTTCCTAAAGAACATGCCTCCAGAAACTCTATGAACTTTGATAAAGTTGATAGTTGTAGAGGGGCTTCAGGCCTTTTGTTCATAGGGTCGCTATGAGTTGTGCTTGACTCAAAGACAATCAACAACAACACAATTACCTCTAGCAAATGCTGCCAATACAGTACGTGCTGGATGTTCAATAAATTTTAACTAATAGTTGAAAGAATTAGCAAAAAACAAGCCTCCAGGAGTTGACACATAGCAATTGATATATTTCAACAAACAGATGCTGTCCTAGATTTGTTCACTAGGTTGTGCCAAGAAATCTGGAGTACAGCCACCTGGCCAACTGACTGGAAGAAATCTATATTTGTTCCCATTTCAAAGAAAGGTGACCAGACAGTGTGTGGAAATTACCAAACAATATCATTAATATCACATGCAAGACTGCTGAAAATTATCCAGAAACAGCTGGAGCAGCATGTCAGCAGAGAACTGCCAGATGAGCAGGCTGGGTTTAGAAGAGGCAATGTTACTAGGGATATTCTAACTAATGTTAAATGGATCTTGGCTGAAAGCAGAGAGTACCAAAGGAATGTCTACCTGTGCTTCATTGACTATGCAAATGCTTTTGACTGTGTGGATCACAACAAGCTGTGGCTGACTCTGAGAAGAATGGGAATCCCAGAACATTTGTACTTACACAAAACCTATACTTGACGCAGGAGGCCGTTGTCAGAACAGAGCAAGGAGACACTGCGTGGTTCAAAATTGGGAAGGGTGTCCGCCAGGGATATATTCTGTTTCCATACCTTTTTAATCTATATGCAGAACAGATCATCTGGCTGTATGAGGAAGAATGTGGCATCAGAATTGGAGGAAGATTCATCAACAATCTGGATTATGCAGATGATACAACCTTGCTTGCTTAAACTGAAAAGGGCCTGAAACACTTGCTTCAGAAGGTCAAGGACTGTAGCCTTCAATATATATATTGAAGCTCACATCCAGAAAACAAAGATTATCACCACTGTGCCAAATGACAGTATCATTTTGGATGGTGAAGAGATTGAGATTGTTCACAGCTTTAGTTTGCTTTGCTCCACCATCAACATTCTTGGTACCAGCAGCCAGAAAATCAAGAGA